GACACTGACTGCTATTCAATCTATAACAGTGAAAAAAGATTATTTTTTTTTTAAATCCAAACTATTGTGACACCAGATCTAATTAGTGGCACTTGTCAGCGTATCCACTGTTAGCGTAACACACCGCTTTAAGGACACTGACTGCTATTCAATCTATAACAGTAAAAAAAGTTTTTTGTTTTTAAATCCAAGCTATTGCGACACCAGATGTAATTGGTGGCACTGACTGGGGAAATGGGCACAGTATGCACTGTGAGCCTGACACAGAAGCTGGCAGCAGTGGCAGACAACTGACCGCTATTCAATCTATAACAGTGAAAAAAGTTTTTTGTTTTTAAATCCAAGCTATTGTGACACCAGATGGTGGCACCTGACTAGAAATGGGCACTGTGAGCCTCCATACAGAAGCTGCGGTGCTAAGTGGCAGACAACTAAGTGCAATTTCTACATTACATAGAAAATCCAAAAAAGCATACCCTTATCCCTAACCTAGCTTACGCTTTCTCCCTATCTTATGAACAGCAGCTACACTTTCCCTCCTCTGGGCCAAGTATGCAGCTTCTGAGGAACGGAACCAAAAACCTGGATGCCGTCCAGTAGGTGTGGAGGGTCTGCTAGGAGGTCAGTGCTGCTAATTGGCTGGAATGTGTCCGTTGACTGTGAGGTACAGGGTCAAAGTTTACTCAATGATGACGAATAGGGGGCGGGTCGAACCGTGCATATGTTCGCCCGCCGTGGCGAACGCGAACATGCTATGTTCGCCAGGAACCGTTCGCCGGCGAACCGTTCGGTACATCACTATCCGTCAGTATTAGCCGATCCGCAGACTGATACGAAGATAACGAGTACTTATATTACTCCTCATAAAGAGTGTGGATAAATAATAGGCAAATTGCTGAGAAGATTACTAGAGGTCAAAAGTAGGAGACCCATATTTGGGGTTTAACTATGAATCGTTAAGATGACAGTATGGTCATTGAGATTGGATTTACCTCTTACCAGGCTGTTGGTCCAATGTTAGACTAACTACAAAAGAATTTCAGTAATATAGAACAAAGTATACAATTTATCAAAGTGCTTGTTATTTTATTATTTATATCTGGCACATAGGTTTCTGATTTAATTGATCAATGCTGTAGTCCCTTCAAATGTACAATTTATATAAGTACTTATTATTATTATTATTATTATTTATATCAAACACATAGGTTTCTAGTTTAATTGATCTGTACTATAGTCCCTTCAAATATACACCATTAATATAAAATATTAGGTGCTAAGATTGTGGACTTATTTAAAACCTAAAAATTTATTTGAGACAATCTCCTGAAAATTGATGATACTTTTAATTATACACAGTACATGTTGGCATTCATGGTTCCCTCAATGAACTGTAGCTCCCCAGTGTCGACCGCACTCATGCAGGCCCAAACCATGACACTCCAACCACCATGCTTGACTCTAGGCAATACACACTTGTCTTTGTACTCCTCACCTGGTTGCCGCCACACATGCTTGACACCATCTAAACCAAATAAGTTTATCTTGGTCTCATCGGACCACAAGACATGGTTCCAGTAATAAACGTCCTTAGTCTGCTTGTCTTCAGCAAACTGTTTGCGGGCTTTCTTCTGCATCCTCTTTAGAAGAGGCTTCCTTCTGGGATGACTGCCATGCAGACCAATTTGATGCAGTGTGCTGCATATGGTCTGAGCACTGACTGGCTGTCCCCCCACCCCTTCAACCTCTGCAGCAAGGCTGGCAGCACTCAAATGTCTATTTCCTAAAGATAACCTCTGGATATGATGCTGAGCATGTGTACTCAACTTCTTTGGTCGACCATGGCGAGGCCTGTTCTGAGTGGAACCTGTCCTGTGAAACCGCTGTATGATCTTGCCCACCATGCAGCAGCTCAGTTTCAGGGTCTTGGCAATCTTCTTATAGGCTATGCCATCTTTATGTAGAGCAGCAATTCTTTTTTTCAGATCCTGAGAGAGCTCATGTTGAACTTCCAGTGACCATTATAAGAGAGTGTGATAACACCAAATGTAACACATCTGCTCCCCATTCACACCTGAGACCTTGTAACACTAACGAGTTACATGACACCGGGGAGGGAAAATGGAAAATTGGGCCCAATTTGGACATTTCCACTTATGGGTGCACTCACTTTTGTTGCCAACGGTTTAGACATTAATGGCTTTGTGTTGTTATTTTGAGGGGACAGCAAATTTACACTGTTATACAGGCAGGGCCAGCGCTACCTGTTAGGCGGACTAGGCAGCCGCCAGGAGCACTGGTCCCCCTCATGCTGCAGCTGCTCGAGCGCTCTGTAGAGAGCCTCAGGTGGCTGCAGCTTTGCCCTGGCTGGTGCGTCCATGAGGGCGCACCGCCCGGGCGCAGCATGAGGAGAGGGGCTGACAGGAGGGAAGCGCTCAGCACTCCCTCCTGTCACTCCCTCACTGTAGCGTGGCTGAGCCCCGTATGATCCGCGGGTACAGGGAGCATCTGTCACTAAGTGTGCACTTCCTTTCAGTCCGGCCGGGTACAGGACACAAAAGCTCCCTGTACCCGCGGATCACTCTGAAACTCTGCCGCGCTGTAGAGGGGAAAAGAAATTGACAGGGAAAGAAGTGACAAGGGGAAAGAAATTGACAGGGAAAAGAAATTGACAGAGGAAAGAAATTGACAGGGGAAATTGACAGGGGAAGAAATTAGCCTTGAGGGGAAAAAGTGTGAGGGAAGCGAAAAAAGAGAGAGAGAGTGAGGGGGAGAGGAGAAGTGGGAGAGAGAAAGTGACAAGGGGGAAAGAAGTGACAAGGGAGGGGAGAAAGTGACAAGGGAGGGGAGAAGAGAGTGACAAGGGAGGGGGGAGAAGAGAGTGACAAGGGAGACGGGAGAGAAAGAGAAATTGACAGGAAGGGGGGGGAATAAACTAGGCTGTGTAGGTATCTCATACTATTTTGTAGCACTTGCCAATTTGTATCATGTTTGAATGAGGCCAGCACTGGCCAATATATAAATAACATTTTCATTTTGACTACTGAGAGGAGCCCTCTGCACATTTAAATTAGTGACTTCAACCAGTAGCTACACCACATTTATAATGGAATATAGGTTTTCCCATACAAAATTATAAATAAGGTAAAGAAGTTTGCCCCGAGATGTCCCTCTGAGGAGAACAGAAAAAAAGCAAAAATGTTCCAGGTATTTGAAATGGGAACAAAGTACATATTCCACAAAATTCCCATTCAACAAGCTAATAGCATCTGCTACTAACTTTTTGAAGTCCTTTATTCATATTTTTTTCTATGTCTTTCCCTATAATTTAAGTCATACATAACCATACAAGATTTTGTTTGGTGATCATAAAGTTATAAAATCTCAGAATAGGAACGTGA